GGGCAAGGAGGCGGCATGCACGCGGGTCATGCCGCCATGCGCTACCTTGTTCCACCAGCCCCGTTGCGGCGCTACCCGCCGTGACCGGAGGCGCCGAGGCCGGCGCGGCGGACTGCCTGCCGCCCACTGTCCGCACCCGAGCGCGCACGCACGCAGGTGGGAAAGAGAGGAGGACGAGAAGGAAATGAGCGCGGCGCGAAGCGGGAGGACAAAGACACTCCAACGTCCGAGCGCAGAGCGCGCCGCCACGTTGGAGTGACGCGCCAAACAACCAAGGCGCTGGCTCGCTCGCTCGCTCGGGTCAAAACTGTCGGAGCGAGCGAGCGATGTAACCGGAAGCGCTCACTTTCTTGTCGCAAAAAACCTCAAGGGGTCAACATGAGGGCAAGCGGTGACGAGCAAAGCGAGCGATGACAACGCTCGCGCTGCGCCTGGCAACACGCGGGCGATACCGATGCGAGGCATCCTGTCAAAAGGCGCGCCTTCACAATCAAGAATCAGAATCATTCGCTTTACATCGAGCGTATCCGCTAAATGTTCGTTTCTCCACCTGGTTGCTCGTCAGCTCTCCCTCCGCAAAACTGCAGCCGGTCCCTCTCAGAAAGTCTCTTTCGTTCACATCTGAGGGAGTGTGTGGAGCGGACCAATTGGCTGGAGATGATTTCCTCCGGCAAATATTGGTTTTGGTTTTCGTACGCTTTGATTTTTTTTGCCAGGTTGTCAGGCGTGCGCTCAAGTGAAGCCGAGCGTACCTTGAAGATATGGCCCGAACGCATTGGCAGACGTCGAACGTCCGCGCGACGACAAGACACAAGTCGGAGCCGTTCGAGCGAAGCCGCTCGAACGGCTTTTACCGCATCGAGGTTCAAATTTGCAGTCGACGTCGTCTTCACTCACGATTTCACAGCCATAAATGCGCATGTGTGGGCACGCTGACATTTTGCCGTTGCGGCGTTTCCGCCGACGAGCGGCGGGATCGGCCTCCCAAACGGAGACCGGATCCTCTCCAAGGCCAAAGGCTAATCTGCTCTCTGAGAACGAGTCCGGCTCACGGCGCGGTGCGTGGAGGAGGAGGAGGAGGAGGAGACTTACCGGAGAAATTGCGAGAGACCAGCATGGTGGTGAGGATGGCGCCCTGGGTGGGAAACAAAAGCAAAGCCAGGGTCAGGGAGAGAAAGAGGAAAAACAAGCATCGCGCACGTGCCGCGTCTTTCCTGCGGCGCGACTCAGAACAAAGAAAACAACCGCAAAGAAAGCCTGCGAGTGGGGCGGTGAAAAATGGACACAAATATTCCATTTATGTGGGGGGGGG